TGTCTCTGCTGAACCTGTGTTCTGCTTGATCCTGGAGAATTCCATCCCACTTAGTCTCCTGCACCACAGCACCTTGCTGGTACCAATCAAGCCCCTCTGCTCCTTCCCAGGGTCACAGTGGAAGGACCATGGCAGACACTGGGGAGGGAAAGAAGGAGGAGGCTGATTATAAAAGACTTCACAGCTTCCCACTGATCAGGGTAAGAAGAAGAGTGGGCATGTGTAAAAGTGTTGGGGCACAGGGATGGGAGGGTAATGTCTTTCCTTCCTGCCTGCTCTTCACGAATCAGTATGCCCCTTGCTACTGAGCTGCATCATGAACAGAACTGTAGAATACCATTTCTGCTTGGAGCCCTACCCTCCTGCCATTTTTCCACTGTCCATCTCTCCTGTGACGCAGCTGAAAAGCAGCTTCCTTCCAGAGTTGGTCAGTGGGTCAGACACACAGCATGTTTACTCCATAGAAACCTGATTCTAGTATATAGTAAAAATAGAATCAGCACATGACATGGATCTACTACGTAGTAAATCACTCAAATCCAGGGTAAAACTGCCTGTTGAAAAATGTGCAGAGGCTATACTGCATGAGAAAAATACTGCACTTAGGGTATGGTCACACATATTTGGAGTCATTAACAAAGGGGAAGGGAGAGCTCTTGTTCTGAACCACATAGTAGTAGATCTGTTCTAACAGACATGTGGATAAGGTGGGAGTGAAACAGTTGTAGTAGAAGAGCTCCAATTTCTAACACTGCTTCATCCAAGGTTAAAGCAGGAGCAGTTTTGTTATGGTTGTATTGCTCCTGGCTTAGAATCATTAAAAATGAGGGTTGGAAGGGACCTCAGGAGGTCATCTAATCCAACCCCTTACTCAAAGTAAGACCAGCCCCAACTAGATCATCCCAGCCAGGCCTTTAAAACCTCCAAGGATGGAGATTCCACCACCTCTCTGAGTAACCTGTTCCAGTGCTTCACCACCCTCCTAGTGAGAAAGTTTTTCCTACTATCCAACCTAAACCTCCCTTGCTGCAACTTGAGACCATTGCTCCTTGTTCTGTCATCTGCCACCACTGAGCATAGTCTAGCTCCATTCTCTTTGTAACCCCCCTTCAGATAGTTAAAGCCTGCTATCAAATCCCACCTTAGTCTTCTCTTCAGCAGACTAGATAAGTCAAGCTCCCTCAGCTTCTCATAAGTCATGTGCCCCAGCCCCCTCTCCAAGTTGACCTCCACTGGACTCTCTCCAACTTGTCCGCACCCTTTCTATAGTCGGGGGCAGGGGGGCAAAACTGGACATAATACTCCAGATGTGACCTCACCAGTGCTGCTTAGAGGGGAATAGAGCTCCTGATCAGCGGCTCTTCTTTGGAAATGGCTCCAAATCTAGATGTGTCCATACCCAGAATGTGTCCCCATAGTCAGTTTCATCCCCCCAGACCCAAACTGACTATCCTGCCACCTAGTGGCCAGGTACTGTAACAGCACCTACAGCAGGTAAGTGTCTTGAGCTCCTCATGGGTCTGCTCCTTACTACTGACTACATTTTCTACAGAGTAATATGCAAGGTAAATTACTCCATAAGTAATTGTGCCCTGGGTCTGTACCCCATGTTGTGTCTTGTCAGTTAGCAAAGCCAAGCTGGCATGGTACAAAGCAGCCACTTTCTGACCTCACTCCCTCAGGGCTCACCTTATTGACTTCACAGCAGTCCTGCCACATCCAAAGTGCTGAGCAGAGCTTGGAGGTTTTTTTCTAGCTGAGAGAAGAGCCCAGAACAGGGGAAGTTCTATGCAATTCAGATATCCCTATAGCGTTTACTGCAGTTATTTAGTGTTTCTTATGGCAGCATAGGCATAAAGCATTGTGATCTGTAAGGAAAAATTAGGATACGTATGCATGTCCTTAATTCCCCTTGGAATAAGTAATCCCACATCATTACTTGGAAACTAAAACACCGAATCATCAAAATATCCAAAGGGAACAATGTGGTGTTGGCAGGGATGGACAAGAGGTGACATTGCAAACTACCATCTTTAATTTCTGTTGAGGCAGGGCTATCTTCAGGCGTTGGCTTCTGAACATATGAGATCCTGGAGGCAATGTTTCTGCCTCCACTGAGACAGAGCGTAGAGGAACTAGCATGCACGGCTATTTGTGCTTGTATCCTGCAACACAAGGGCACCGCAGTAGAATGATGGAGGGAAGAGTCCCTCCTGCTTATCTGCCCTTGTCTCATGCCCAGCTCTTGTTCAGCTCTCTCTCATATGTTTGCTCTTCCCAGCACACAGACATGCCAGAGGAGATGCGTGTGGAGGCCATGGAACTGTGTGTCACCGCCTGTGAGAAATATGCCACCAACAATGAGGTAGCAACCACTTCCAAGGAGGCTGTGCTGTCTGACTCAGCTGGTTTCAGACAGTGGCTCCATCCACAGGGAATATTCTGAGGCAAGATGGAGGGGAGTTCAGAAAAGAGGTCAGATACTCTAGACTTGAACTGTGCGCTCTGTGTTTGCATTGAGCAAAGGAAGAAAAGGAGTGGAGCAAAGTCAGAAATGACCAGATTCTCCAACTTGGTCCCCAGCATCAGTTGAAACAAGTGAAGGTCCTCACTGACTTACCCACTGCTTTCCTTATCAGCCACAGGAAGCAAAAAGTAGCAGGTTTTCTATGCTCTCTAGCCATGTCCCTCCTGATTCTGGTTTGCACCCAGCAAACTTCGTCCCTACTCCCAAAATGACCTCTATATTGGGAGGCAGGGTTAAGGCTGGCACAGGGCTGTTGAGATAACTCTGTATCAGCTTGGAAGATGCTGGAGGTATTTTTCTGGGTTAGCTCTACCAAAAGTTGGAAAGAGAGTTGAACATCTTCCTGCAGAGTGTAAATTAAAGTCTTCTGTATACCTTCTGACCCTTCGGAGGGATCCTATTGCAGCTGGGCTCCTCAGCCCACTAGGCCTTCAGTTTTCTGAGCAAAGGGGGTGATGTCTTTGATCCAAAGATTACATGTATGTGTTGGCATGCTGGGGGCCGACGTGTTCTACAACCTCCCTGAATTAATACACTTAGACCAGTACATTCTTTTACCCTTGGCTCTCACATAAGCTCTGGATGATCAGCAGGGCACAGTCTTCTTGCTGCAACAGCTGTTTGATGCAGGAGTGAGCAAGAGGTTCACAGTAGGAAAGTCTGCTACCTGCCATGTGTCCCCAGGCAGGGTTTAAAAGTGCCCAGCCCCTTCCCACCTCTTTGACCCCCTTGTCTAGCTAGGGTGCTGTTCTAGAAAACAGCTAATAGATGATGAAAGAACCAAAGAAAACCTCAGATGGTTATTTGAGGAGGCAGTTAAAGTCCAACCAATCCCAAGAGATGCGTCTTGGGATTTGCTGGGATGAAAAATAGATCCCTCAAAAATAACCAAAAGTAAGGATATAATTATCTACTCAGTTTCACTATTACTTGATAACTCCATTCATTTCAGCAGGCCAGTCCTGATTCAATTTGGGGATAAGTGAGAGATATACCAGGCCCTAGATACAAATCTTTCATTGCTTCTGCTGAATTTTAAGAAGTCTCCAGCAAAGTAATCTCTGACCCTTGCAGTGTCACTGTCTTGGTCTCAGCTTCTCTGCTGTAACTGTCTCACCTGTTCTTCTCTATTGAAGAGGCCTATTAAAGAATGGGGAGAGCAGGGCTTTTATACACATGAACACCCTCCTCCCACCTTTTTCACATGCTGCTTCCCCTACCTCCTCCTGGACTATTCTCTTTCTTTGTCCCTTAGAGTGCTGCCAAGATGATCAAGGAGACAATGGACAAGAAGTTTGGCTCCTCCTGGCACGTTGTGATTGGTGAGGGCTTTGGCTTTGAGATCACTCATGAAGTGAAGAACCTGCTGTACATGTTCTTTGGTGGCAGTCTGGCTGTTTGTGTCTGGAAGTGCTCTTGACATCCATGTTCATGACACCACAAGGAATATTTTCATTCCCTTCCTGGGTTTTGTACTATCTTGAAGCAGGGCTTTATTTTTCATAGTAAAACTTTGAGAGTTGTTTTCATATTTACGTACCAGTTTACTAGGGTATGTATAATCCGTATGGTGTGTGTACGTGTCAGTCTGCTGAGTTATCAAATCTTACTTCATGGGGTCTCACAGGGATCCTGTATTTGGGTGTGGCTCTTCCAGAGATGGTGAAGTTAGGCAAGGGGATCTCGTGGGCTTGCAGTCTCATGAGACACGGTTTATGAAGCCATACATTAAAACGGAATGGGTGTGAAACAACAAAGAAAATAACCAGGCCGTCCATCTGCTCTTCCCATCCTTCCATATTATTTTTCCTCTCTGCAGTCTTTCCTGCAGTATAGAATAGCTCTCATGACCAGTGTCTGTTCCTTCAGTGGCCATCAATGTTGACAGCATTTTAGGTGACCTGTTGGAACAGGTCCTTTGTGGGCTCCTCTTCCCCTTGTCCCAGGTAGTGCCGGGAGCTAATTCTGCCTTTCTGCACTTTTTTCCCACTTACTGGGAGAGGAACATGACAGCTGAGCTGCCTGGGTGTGAAAACAGAGTGAAGATTTGGCAGTTCAAACCCAGCAGAAGGCTGCAGCCCAGATTGACCCCTCCTCTTTTCCACACCCACTGAGCACTGATATAGCTCTGAAACTTAGGCGGCTTGTGGCAAGTGGAGGAGTGGGTGAGAACACTCTACCAAATTTGGATTCATGTTTGAGAGGAACATAAGCTCTCGGGAGTGTCATGGGTGCCAGTGCTGTGTGTACTCTGTATCTGGCTTAGAGGCTCACAGTGGGGACAGGCCTCCATGTGACCTGCCTCTCTCAGACATCAGAGATTTAATGTACATTTGTACTTCAGTCCGTTCAGTCTGCCTCATCTTTTTAAAGCTCTTGGAAGTGTGTTAAGAGATGGAATGGACCTAATTGTATTTTACATATATGGCTTATTTATATGCATTTGGGATTTTTTTTTTACAATAAAAAGAATGATGTCACTTGTGTTTGACATTTTCATTTCAGAATCCATCCAGGTGGGGAACATCAAGGCAAGGGTAGCCCTGATGTGATTGGGTAGGGTAAGTCAAGACCTCTTTGTTGCCAGTGGTGTTTTATCTCAGGGGTCAGGCTACGAATACCTTTTCACCTCAATCTTTGGACAGCCAGATGACTTGTAGAGATAGGGAAAGGAGTTTTATCCTCTTTCATTTGGGTTTTGTGTTGGTAAAAGGAGTTTGGTGCCCAGTGGAAGTTGCTAGATCAACAGTATTTGAAACTCAGGTCCTCTGTTTATCTCTGGAACAAAGAGCAGCAGCAAGGCAAGTGACCCTCTACCCCCTGCCCTCCACCAATCTTCCTCAGCCTTGGTCTTGGGGGCAGGGAGGAAGAAGTGGGGGACCTCCTTTAAAAAGGTCAGGTTTTGTGGCTCATTTGAACTTTGGACTCTTCTGAGAATGCCAACAAGTGGTACAGCTGGAACCAGTTCTTGCTTAAGTATGAGGCCCCAAACTTGTCCACATTTTAGTCCTTCCAGCCCCGCAGCCAGTACTGCCTACTGTGAATCTTATTGAATATTAAAAATGAATTCCTGTTTGTGCTTGTTTCTTAACCTCTATTTGGGACTAGACTGCAAGTGCTAAGAGCAAAAACCATCCTTTTGTTGAATACCTGGAAAATTCTTGGCATATTGTGAGTCCTACTGTAAACAGCTAATTTAATAAAAATAAATTCTGGAAGATTTTGTAACTTGGACCATCTGTAGCAACTGGGCCCCACATCCTACCCAGAGTTCCTACTCTTCAGATGGCAACTGAGTTTTACTCTCATGCTGATGTGCAACTGAGGACTGAGCAGAAAGGTTCCCTGAGCCAAGGACTCCTTTCTCATCAGTCAGACAAACTACTGTACTTTATGGCATCACATGTAGATACCCACCACTTCTTCAAATGAAAGGTTGCATTACTGAAAAGGTCTCATCAGGGATGGTCCCTGGATACAGGTGCTTAACAGGAGCTAACTGGAAATTAGCTTTTTTGATCTAAGCCTTTCCATCTCCTGAATGCCATATATGCATTCCTTCAAGGCCAGAGAGTAAGGTAAGGCAAGGAGCTATGGAATGTCCTGCTTCTTGTGGGTTTGGAGCATCTTGTACTGCCACTGCGGTCTCTTCTATTGTATTTCTTCCATGTTAATGAACAGTTAACAGTCCTGTGCGTACACATATGCGCCCTGATCATGGGTACTCATGCAAGGGTCAGGCTGACCTGCAGAGATCATATGGAGAGGGACCTGTTTACCTCAGCAAACAGATCTTGGCCCCACTTTCAGTCTGTTATCTATCCAATGGTCATGGGGCCACAGCAGTGTCTCTATGACCTGCAAGTGCAATCAGCTGAAATTGGCTGATCCCCAACCCTCTCATTAGGATTCAGTGATGGAAGATAAACCTTCCAATTTCCTAAACACGTGCAGTTGGACATGGAAATTTCCCTTGCTCCCTGTCATCTCTTTCTACAAGTACTTCTTTCTGCAGCTGGCTGTCTTGGACCTCACATGGTGCCTCCCCACTTTGGAACAGAACTTGCAGTCAGCTTCACAGTTTGTTGGAGTTTGTGCCTTGCAAACCCATAGTAGACCAGCAGGGGTACTCCATGCAAGGGGTCTATTGGCCTGGCGACTGATACAAGGGAGAAGAAAGGTCTTTCTTACAGTGACCTTATGTTGTCACCATCATCCTACCAAAGAGTGGTGCCTGGATCCCAGGCAGGCAGGGAGGTGGAAGGTGTCATGATGGCATGGTCTGGTACCAACCAGAATGAATCTTCCTGTCTACTGGCTGAGATGGGCCACCGAGCTTCAATATCCAGTGATAAACAGTGCGTCATCTGTGACTTGCTTTCCTGCTGAGGAGAATGCAATAATCTCCTCTTGGATGGTGTAGTGGGGAGTACAGATTCCCTGAAAGGGGTGAAAAGACCACACAGGCCATGACCACCCACTTGGGACACCCACACCCCAAGTGGGACTTGGCTTCAGTAAGAAGGCAGGTGGAGAACGGGAGGTGGGAATGTGATTGCTTTTCTGCAATAAATGTCGTGGCAACAAGGTATATTAACAGGCTGCCAGCTGATAAGAGCTGGCTTTGAAGCTGTCCATCTCTTGCTCTCATTTCACTGCAGGCTCAGATCTGACTTGATGAAAAATCGTTTGGTTAATATTTAATGCTGGCACTGAAGTGATGCAGGGCTGCAGGCACCCCACCCAGCCTACTTTCTGCCTCTGTCTGTGACACCAAATCAGCAAACTCACTAGGCATTTAAGGATTGCAAACTCCCCCAGAGCAGGTATCAGGCTCCTTATTTAGAGGACAAGTTCCAGCACAGGCAGTGGCGGCAGTGAGCCTGGGTATGACAGCATCATCCACAGACCAATCTCACACTTGGCTTTGTGAGATGGGGAAGCATGAGGTACCCCCTTATAGTCTCTAGCACAGGAGAGGATAAAGAACCTTGGAACCTAATTTTGAGGCCTCACAGCACTGAAACCACCTTGGCCATAAACCACTGAACTGCTAAGAAATTATAAACATTTGGTAAGCAGCAAGCTAAAGGCCTGGTATTTCATCCATAATCCCTTTGAGTCACGTGTTTGCTATGACTAGGCACAGACAGGTACCAGCATCTCCTTGTGGAAGGATCCGTATTCCCTCCCCAGTGCTTGGCATAGGGGGCCGCTCTCTCTCTCTTTCCTTCCACCAGAACAACTGCCCTCGTAGTCAAATAACAGGGAATGGACTCATTCCCTGCCGTTTGGCTATGAGGTCAGTTGTTCTGGTGGAAGGCTCTGTTCAGGTCACCCTAGAGCATGGGTGCAATTAAAGGTTAATCACACTAACCCAGACAAAAGGGGAAATAAGACCTGTTCCGTTCCCATCATCAGCCATGTTATCGCTGCAATGCAAAGGAAAGAGAGAGTGAGTGTTGCCGGAATCTAGGGTGAAAGAAAGTGTCAGCTGGAGACAGTTACTAGGCAACCGTTGCACCATGGGAAATGAGCAGCAGAGAACTCCTTGTTCTCTCAACAGCAGCTCCGTGCATATGTGTGGGAGAGAAAGTGTGTGCGCGTCGGAGAGGGTGTGCGACAGCGCGTCGGAGGGATGTGTGAAAGGGACAGAGGTGCGACTGCATCGGAGGAGAGCCAGGGTGTACATGTCTGGCAGGGGTGTGTGTCCAAGAATGTACCCCCTTCTGCCATCCAACCCCCTCGCCAGCACCCAGGCTGGGTCTGTTGGCACTGAAGCTTTATATCCCATCCCCAAGCCTTGGAGACCCCCATTCTCCTTTTCCCAGACTTCCAAGGTGAAAGGAGAATATGAGAGAGATCCAGAATCTCAGACTCCCGTCTCCCGGAGCTGGTTTCTCAGCTCCCAGGACTGCCAGCGGCAAGTCTCAGGGAGGGCACCGAGTCATCTGATGCACTCCAGATAGGGGGTTTGCTGGTCAGGCTATCCCAGGCACATCCCTACCACCCGCTTTCTGGTCTGTGTCACACAGGGCTCTGGGCCTCGTTGGTTGCTACATTGCCCCAAGCTTGTAAGCTTGCTATGTCTGAGAAGTTCTCCCTTCCCAAAACCTGAGGGGCTACATCTCTGGGTCATTCGCTACTCCTGGAGAAGTAGATTTCCCAGGGCTAGGACTCTCCTCAGAATGTTTTTAAATCCTCCCTGGCCATTTGGCTCAGAAAGGGGCTAACAATCTTGTTTGGAACGTATCTAAGTTGCTGCTTGCTCCCTCCCACTTCTGGCCCTGTTTGTCCCAGCGTGTAAAGCACAAACTCAGCAGAAATGAAGTAGTGCTAGAGGCGGGTACCATATGGCGCAGCAAACCAGCCTCTTCATAACTTTTCCCAGCACATTGATCCTGCCCTGCCTGCAGCACATCTTTGATATCCCAGTGCCTGGAGTCTCGCCACAGTTCTGCTGATGCACTTGAATTTGGACTGCTCAGCCTCCTCTGCTGTGCCAGCTCTGAGGGCCCCACAGCATCTATGCTCTGAACCAACACAACCCCCCTCTGCTGTTCTAAGCTTGATTTCTGTGACTGTCAAGCAGCAGGGCCAATGCACCTCACTCCTGATCTGCAGCCACTGCTCGCTTGTCAGTCTTTCCCCTCCCTTAGCCAGTATTTCATAGATTTCATAAATTTCATAGACATTTGGGCTGGAAGGGACCTTGGAGGATCATTGAATCCAGCCCTCTGCCCCATGGACAGGAAGTCAGCGGGGATCATAGGATCCCAACAAAATAAACATCCAAATGTGTCTTGGAGGCGTTCAAAGTGGGTGCTTGAACCACCTCCGGCGGCAGTCTATTCCAAACCTTGGGGGCTCAGACAGTGAAGAAGTTCTTTTTATGTCCAGCCTGAATTGGTCGTGGTGGAGTTTGTGACTGTTTGATCTTGTCGTTCCCCCAGATCCTGATGAATACCCTGATAAATTTATAGGTGGCCACCAGATCACCCCTGAGCCTGCGCCTTTCCAGGCTGAAGAGCCCCATGGCTCTCAGCCTCTCATCATAAGGTCTGTTTTCCTGACCTCTGATCATGCACGTGGCTCTCCTCTGCACCCTCTCAAGCTTCTCCATTTCCTTTTTTGAATTACGGAGCCCAAAACTGGATGCAGTACTCCAGCTGCGGCCTCACCAAGGCTGAGTACAAGGGGAGAATGACATGCCGGGATTTACTTGAGAAGCATCTATGGATGCAAGCCAGCGTTTTGCTCACTTTGCTACACAGCATCACACTGAAGGCTCACGTTCATCTTGTGGTCAATCGTGACCCCCAAGTCCCTTTTATCTGTAGTGCTAGCCAGCATAGTACTGCTGAGCCTTATAAGGATGCTGCAGGTTTTTCTTCCCAAGGTGGAGAACCTTGCATTTTCCAGTGTTGAACACCATCAGGTTCTCGTCCACCTACTTCCTGAGCCTGTCAAGATCTGCCTGGATCGCCCTCCTGTCCTCACGTGTGGATGCTTTACCCCAGAGTTTGGTGTCGTCGGCAAACTTGGCCAGTCCGCTTCTGACATCAATGTCCACATCATTGATGAAGATGTTAAATAGTATAGGCCCTAAGACAGAGCTTTGAGGGACCCCACTAGTCACAGTGCACCAAGACGATTGGCTCCCATCGACCACCACCCTCTGGGTCCTACCGCAGAGCCAATTCCCCAGCCAGCGGATCGTGGTGAGGTCGAGGCCGCAGTTAGCCAGTTTAGCCAAGAGGCTATTCAAATCCTTTTTGCATATCCATGGGGTGTCTCTGGGAATGTATATACAAACAGAGAGGTGGGTGTGTGTAAGTGGCCCTGTATGCGTGCTAGCATATCTTTGAGTGAGTTCTTACTTGCAAGGGGGTGTGAGCATATCCAGAGTTAAGACTTATGGCAGCCCCAGGAAGAGGTGTGGGCCCCTTCCTCCTCCCCCCCAAACATTGAATGACTTGCACTAATTAAGCCTCATGGGGGCTCCTGTAGCCTCAGGTCCAGGCAATTTCCCCAGATGCCCACTCCTAAACCTGTTCTTATGTGGATACCCCATTCTGAATAGGAGAGGAGAGTGACTTCGTTACTGGATATGTGAATGAAAATGTAGGCCATGGATATGGGGGCCTATGTGTGTGGTAGGAAAATGAGTATGTAGGTGTGGGTGAGTACAAGCACAGAGTGGGTACCACCTCTAGGATTAGGATGCCTGGGTGGGCATATAGGAGTGAGTGCATGGGGCTATTTGAGTGAGTATGCCAGGGTGGATGGGTTGAAGCATAGGCTGGGGGATGGAATCAGGATGTGGGGCATGCTGTGTGCCTGGATTATCTACAGCCACTTTTGTCACTGGACTATCTGCTGTTGTTGATTTGGAACTTGCCCCGTTCACTCTAACCTTGGCATTACCTGCTCTTTCCTTATCACCATTGATAAGTGGAGCAGCAACCTGCCTCCAGCTCTCTGTCTGACTGAAGGCTGCCACACCAAGGAGGTCCCATCCACCAGGGACCTCAAGACTGCGTTGAACTCATTGCCGTGGGCAGGCACAATCACCATTTGTATGGCAATGGCAAGAGGAGCTGAAGGGAAAACGACGGATTTATTTCTAATTTAGCCTTTATCTGCCAAGTCCACCTCTTGCATTGCCCTGGGCTTTTCACAGGACAGCTTTAACCCTGAGGGATCTATTCGAGACATTGCTTGGGACTTCTCTATCCCTTTCTTTCAGGGAGGGGTTCAGCTGAAGAGATATTCATTCCATTCAGGCTTTGGGTGGCCATCTGCCTCTGGTCAAGCATCTGAGCTTGGGAGGATGCTACGCCGACTGCAGACTTTGTTTCAAAGGAAGTTCAAAATTCTCCTTTTCCTCCTCCTCTTCTTGGCTCTCCTGATGCACATGGCACTGGACTTAGCACTGCCCACCATTCACAGCTCCTGTGGCTGTGCCCAGAAATCTGCCAGCCCCTCTGGCCCATTCTTGCCAGGCCCAAGGAAGATGAGTCTACGGATCCTCCAAGATTTTAGCGGCAGCAATGGCTCCTTGGAGAAGGGTTCCCATTCGCTGGAGGCACGCCCAGCAGTGGGCACTGGGAGCAAGACTGTGCATGGAGACCAGGACTTCAAGCCTCAGTGGGGAGGAGTGAAGCCGGTGTGGGCAGGAGGGTCAAAACTAGCAGCGCTCTTTAAGCATCCCTTTTATAGGATCCCAATCCCAGAGGTGCTGGAGAAGGACAAACTGTTCACTGTCAATCCCGAAGAGAAGTTCACCCTGAGAGACAGCGGGAGCGATGAATGGTGAGAGCCTGCCCGGCCATGGTATTCTTTTAGGGACACAGGAACCAGTCACCCGTACTGTTCAGTATCCTGTTCACAGCTGGCCTGATGTGTACTGGTGCCCTGAGCATGGAATTGTTTTAGGATTTCAGCACCTTCTCAGGATTCAGGTCCCTGAAAGGCTGTGATGAAAGGCTGGTTTGCCAGCATTGAAGGGATGTGCTATATCCCAGGACTATACCCTTTAATGCAACAGTCTAAGATTTTGCTCCTGCATGTGTAAAGATAGCCCTAAGCCTACCTCTATGTGTGGCCAATGTCAGACCCTTCCCAGAAAGGTATGAAATTCCCAAAATGCACCTAACTGTGCAAAGCTATGCTGTTTTCTGTGGACCTGGGATGGGGATTTTTGGAGCCATCTGAGGATTAGCTTATGCTTTGGACCACAAGCCTTTTTAATTTGACCCTAGTTGGTGCTGATCTTCTTCCTTGCATTATGCAGGGCCTTTTTCTGACCTGCACTAAACTATCTGACTACAGCAGTAAACTTCCTTATGGGCTCAGTCCTCCAGGGACAGGACTGGAGTCAGCACTCTGGGTGTCCAACTTGAAGAACTGACAAAGGGGCTTGCTATTTAGAAACATGTCTCAAATAGGTCTCTCGGGTCTCAGTTGCTTCTGATAATTAGGGTCATATCAGTTGGCATCTCCTTTAGTCAGCCTGAAATGTATCTTTGAGGGTCTCCTTATCCATGGTCACAGGAGACAGTTAAACAGGAGTTTTGGGTTGGTTTTTTCTATACAATTTATCATGTTATATCTGGTTTTCACATAGGCGACACGTAGGAGTGGCACAGTTAGTGATTGGCCACTGGGGGACCCCCACCCCAGTTGGTGATTGGCTGCTGGTGCCCCCCCCAGTATCACCAGTCACCCATGGGTATTCTTCATCTCTTCTTCTTTCCCAGTTCAATACCTGTAGTCCTTCCTTTCCCACACTATGGAAAGCCCCCTTTCTCCTCCACATCTCTGCCTATTTCTAGTGCCCTTCTCCACACGATTTACCTTTGGGAATGAAACACCTAACATTTAGATTAATCTGCAACTTTGGTGTCACTTGACAGCTTGTGTACAATGGGATGGTGAAATCTGATGATGCAATGATCATAACGTCACCTGGAGGTTATTTTAGTCCCCACATACTGTCATCAGCCTCACTGTTATTCCTGGATGATGGATAAAACCCACTGATATAGTAACTACCGTAAATACAGAGCAGCTGGTTTAATGGAAGCGTGTTTGGAGAGTGCTGGCATTGTTAAAAATAAGGGGCAGGAAGAATGGAAATGGATAGCTATTTTCCATAACCTACCTTCACTCTTTCCATCTCTGAAGTTTAATCTTTCACATGCCTGATTTACCCTGGCAGATGGGTCTATGTCAGTGAAATGGTGTAGATTCAGTGTGCCTCCAGGGGATGATTTGAACACAGATGATAAACTCTTTGCAGCTGGGATTGTGTCTTTGCAGGAGCCCTGTGCAGTGCTAGCACAATAGGGCTTTGGCCTCCAAGAGTACTTTAATATTGCAAGTGTCCAGAAACTACTTGCAATATTAACTACACTAAAACAAACGGTTTTAGTGTAGATAATGTGAACTTCTCTCCCCCGCCAAATTAGAGGTAAATGACAAATGGATCAAAGGTGGAGTAAGCTGTTGGGTTGGGGTAAGGACAGAGTTAAGCTTGTTTGTGGCAGGAATTAACCTTCTTTTTTAAATGCAAGCATTTCCTTTAAGCTCATTGGTCAGACACTCCATGTCAGCTCAGCCAGGCTTGGAACCCATGTTACAAACTACGGGCAAACATAGAAGGAGATGCAATACAATCAAACCTGGCTTGAAGGGATGTTGTGGAGTTCTTCTAGGATGTCCCATTAACTCGTTCCCTCCGCTGTGCCCCAGTGTGTGCTGTGGGCCATAGATTTGGTCTACTTTAAAATATTTAGGAATGGTCATGTTGCAGGAGCACTGTGGAGGGGTTCTGGAACAAGGATAGTTGGGGGTGCTGCAGGTCAGGCCAGGGGTTCCTCCAAAGCCCAGGGCTCAATGACTAGCATTGTGTGTTCTTGTTCTCTCTCATGTTCCAGTTCCTCCTAGCTCTTTTCCCACCCCGCTTGCTGGGTGCTGACAGCCACAGGAGGAGGGTGGCTCCCATGTTGGTCTGCTGACTGGGAAATGCTGTGAAGATGGAGGCCATGCGACCCCAGTGCTAAACACTGTTGTTGTTGGGGGGGGTGGCTTTTGGCCTGCAGGGTCAGCAGCAGTAAAGCAGAGATGGTCCTTCCGACAGGGAAAACCCCATACGACACCTACCCCACCTGGCTCAAGTTCCACATCAGCATCAATCGCTACGAGCTGTACCCCCGCCAGGACCCCATCACCCACACCCTGTTGGAGGAGCTGGCCATGCAGAAAATTGTTGGCTCAGGTACTGTGCCATGTCTCACTCTCCACCTTGTTTGCCTTCCTTCTCTCTGTGTCCTACTGTGCCTCTTCCCCATCTGCATCACAAGTCTCCTTCCCCTCTCTCGCTCTCCTCCTGCTGTGGCCCTGATTCTTGTCTGTACTGTTTCAGTCCAGAAACCTGGAGGAACCCAGCTGAAACTAATCATGACGTTCCCAAACTATGGGCAGGCACTCTTCAAACCCATGAAGTGAGTAAGGCGAGCAGGAGAGGGGTGGGGCTCTGCCCCCCACGGAGATGGGCCTGTACATCCCCCACAGCATCCCAACACCCTTGGCTTGGACTCAGCACGCAGGAGGCAGCGACTCTCACATTGCTCCAGGACCTTACTTGCATAGAGCAAGCTGGGCAGGCAACCCTCGCCCCCCTTGGCATCTTCCTGCCAGGAAGGAGCCCGACTGTTCAGCTGTTTGATGGGGTGGTGCGACCTCAGGTGGCGAAGGGAGGAAAAACTGGGAGCAGCTTGCTTTGCTACACATGATACTTGTGTGAAGAATATGGCACAGCAGATGGGGGCTGGGGAGGCCAGACCTGCTTACACTGGGTGCAGTTAAAGAACGGGGATGGGAAGAGGTATCTATAGCTCTGGCTTTCCTTGGGGAGTTTGGAGGGGAAGGGACAAGACAGCAAGCAGCTGAATCAGGGATGGATCAGTCCAAGTTTCCTACAATGCTCTGAGCAGGTCCTAGGTGTTTAGACTCTAATTTAACCCTGGCCTCTGACTGTGTCTCCCTCTTCCTTCTCATTTCAGGCAAACCCGGGACCAGGAGACCCCAGCAGATTTTTTTTACTTCTCAGACTTTGAACGGCACAATGCAGAAATATCAGCCTTCCACCTGGACCGGTGAGTGCTCCAGAGCCCTCCCCGCTCCCGCCTCATGTCTTTGGCAGAGAAACAGTATCCACTGTACAGGGACCTGGCAGCAGCCCAAAGACCTTTGCTGCAGGACTCTGTCTACCTTCTGGGGGAAGAGGAAAATCCTCCCTCAGACTGTAAATTCCTTGGGGATAGGATTTTGTTTTTGTCTATCACACTGAGACACCGAGCCCAATTGTGTAAATCCAACTCCATTCAGTCATCAGATCCGTCCGGCACGGTGCTTGTTCGTGGAGCTCTGACCTATGGCATTTCCCGTACAGCTGTTCTAAGACTCCCTCACACAAGCAGCTGTCAGTCTCCCTCCACAGTGCATCCCTCCTTCCCAAACCAGTTCTGTTCAGGAGATCACTCCCTGCTCCAGCCAGGCCCAGGTCACGCACACAGCTCTGCTGATGCAGCCAAATGCTGGCCCTCTGCCTTTCCGGTCCTGAATTCCCCTAAGCAGCCACAGTAAATAGAATTTTAGATGTGAAGCAATGTCCACTTAAAGAACTAAACATCTATGAATCTATGAAATGACACTAGCTGTTAGCTGCCGAACTCATTGTGTTAGTGCCCTGAGCCAGCACAGCCCCAGTGCGCCCTGCTCTTTATTTCTCGCCTTGCAAAGTAGGAAGTTTTATATGTATTCCCAGACTACATCTCAATGTCTTCTTGAGGAATTTAGGATTGACCACTGATTGGCTAGTCAGTGACTCCTACTAGACCCCCAGCCACAAGAGAACAGAGCAGTGAGCTATCTTAGCCCCATGTCTTGGTACCTAAAGCGTCAAAGGAAGGTACAAACACCCTGCCTTGCATCTGTTTGTACAATACTGTGCCAGTGAAGCAGCAGAGCTATTCCTTCATGACCTTCCCTCTTATCTCTTGAACTGTGGTGGACAATGGCCCATGGCTAATGTTGCTACATGGGCTGGAGTGAAGGAAATATGTACCATGCGCTATGGTTGCCCTCTTTCATAGCACTGGGAACCAAGGACTTGGCTTGGGAATGAACTGGCTTTGAGTCCTGCTTCTCTTTGGTTCCTTGTGTGCTCTTCTTGTTCCTGGAAGGATCCTGGATTTCCGGAGAATCCCCCCAGTTTCTGGCCGCTTGGTGAATATAACCAACGAGGTTCGTGACATCACAACTGACAAGAAGCTGGCTAAAACTTTCTTCATCTCTCCAGGTGAGAGTGCCCTCTACCTGCCCATCCATTACAAGCAAGCCCAGGAGGGCTGTTCTGCACTAGACAGGAACTGCAGTGGCCTACATCTGCACCCCCTAATAGCCCTCCCCACAACTTTGCATGATTAGCAGTAATCCAGGTACAGATCACCTGTCTGATAGCACCCTATGGCCACTCCCTAGGTATCTGCCTGGATGCTGGGTCCCCTTCAAGCCAACTTATCTGTCTAGTGGGTACATCCTTGCCAGGTTCCCAGCTCCCTGTGGAGTTACTTGCCTGGCTGCTCCCAGTTCCTTTACTCAGGGGGCCAGGCTCTCTCTCCTCTACTTCAGTAATCTCTTGCCAGCATGTTATTTCAGGCTACAGGTGTGACAGTGGAGAAACGCCCTTGCTGATGTCATTGTGATGCTGCATCGCATCAGAGCCCCTTTGGGCTCCCTGAGCAGTGAGAGCAGATCCACTTTCCTCTAGCTCTGTGACTGGGTAGAGTACAGAGCTTGTCCAGCTTGTGAGCTCCTTCCTTAGCACAGAGTGTCTTCACAGCTACCAGACGGGGGGGCTTGCAGCTGCTGTTCCTTGGTAACTGGGGTTCTTCTCTGATTTGTCCTGGCTCCCTCCAGCTGGCAACGTCTGCTTCTACGGTGAGTGCTCTTACTACTGCTCCACAGAACATGCCCTGTGTGGCAAACCCGACCAGCTTGAGGGCTCCATGGCCGCCTTGCTGCCCGACAAGTCCCTGGCCAAACGTCGCTCCTGGCGCAGTCCCTGGAGGCGTTCTTACCACAAGAGCAAGAAAGCCGAGTGAGTGTGTTGAGGGGCGAGGGAGGACTGAGGGCGCAGGAGGGTGGAGGGGAGGGTGCAGGAGAAATGAGGAGGGGTGTGATGGCTGGGATCTGCATGAGGAAAGAGATGTGGTGCAGAGTCAGGATCATCGCTATCCAAATCATCCCATACAACCATAATCTAGACTCTACATAAGGCTACCCTCAACCCTGAAGAACACAGACCAAACACCCTTGCCTGCCACAGATAAAGCAGGGGAACAACAGCAGCCAATGTCCCGCTTCTAGAAAATGTTATCAGTAGATGCTCAAGAGGTGCCACACCCCGCACTACAAAGGAAGGCAAAAAACCCCACAGTCCATACCAATCTGACCATGGGGTAAAATTCCTTCCTGACCCCAAATGTGGCGATCAGTCTGACCCTGAGTGGAGGGGCAAGATCTTTTAGCCAGGAATTTCCAGCTGTGCTCCTAGGAGGAGAATCAGCACACCCCAGTTGGAGTCCCCAGCCTTAGTTGTGGCCAACACCCCATGCCTCTGAGGGAAGCTTAATAACACCCTGACACATATAGCAGAAAAAAGGGGAGGGGGAACAGTGTGGGAAAAAGCAGCAAAGCCTGGAAGCGTAGGAAATGCCCATGGTAGAAAATAAGCATAGCTATGGCTAGATCGTCCCTGACCAGTGGCTGTCCAGAGGAAGCAGTGGAGGGTGACCGCACTGTGATGTCTGGGTGCTGGGTGGGGGAACAGGTTAAAAGAGGAGCTGTTCCCCACTGCCTGGCCACTCCAGATATCTCGGGACAGCTCCACATTTTCAAGCTCTGCCTCAGGGTCCACAGCAATTCCCTAAAGTGAGACTTTGGCTTTGAATTTGAAAAACTGGTCCCAGATCAGCCAGCACCCTCCTACCCACCAGAAACATTCCCACTGCACTGGACTGCATCCTGATGTGTTTGCTGAAAGGTTGCAGCTCAATATCATCTGGCGCTGCTTGGCTACACTGCCTCTGGGTCAGGTGGTGTAACTCTGCCCTGCCTCCTGAGTGGGTAGTAGTATGGCCAGGTCCACACATTACTGTGACCAGGTAAATTAGCTCTGCCTCCTGGCACTCAGACATCTCCACTAGTGGGAAGTCAGGGGTGATCCTGCCTTGAGCAGGAGCCTGGGCCAGACAGCCTTGTGAGGTTCCTTCTAGCCCTTTTCTTCTACAATCCTAAATGGTGCCAACACCTTCGGGTTCCAGAGGTCTGGGGAGTATCCATAATTGCATAATTGCATCCCAGATTTTGCTCCCTGGGGTACTCAAAGGGTTAAAGGGAAGCACCTGCATTTTGGGGGGAGCGGGGGCTGCCCCAGGTGTCTGCATCACTTTTCCCTCCTGTGGCTTCTCTAAGGTGGGAGCTGAACCAGAATTACTGCACCCAAGTGCGGGAGACACCACCCTATGACAGAGGCTCCCGCCTGCTTGACCTCATTGATATGACTGTGCTTGACTTTCTAATGGGTGAGTGTGGGGTTCCTCTCCCAGCAGGCAGGCCCACAGTCCCATGTTATCCCACCCTGGACCAACACCTCTGCTGATGTTTTTACACACCCAGACAGGCACAGAGGCTCTGTGCTTGCAGGTAGATGCTTTTGTTTATAAAACAGGCAGATGGCACAGGGCAGGGATAGGGGTAATTGTGTGTTCCCTTCTGCCTGTCTCAAACTAATCCCTCCATAGCAGTGGCCATGAAAACTTTGGTATGCTTGCTGGTGTTCATGCTCTGGTATTGCACTATCACTTCACACTGTGTTGGGGGCTGAAAACTCTGGTCAATTCACTACTTCCAGGGGGGAAAAGAGGCAGTTAGGCATGTGCAAATAAAAGTAAATTAGCCAGCAGTGATCACTTATCAAGAGTAAATCAGAGGGATGGCAGTGGCAGGGAATCAGAATAATAGTGAATTAGTGGCAAGTTATCCCAGAATTCACTGCATTCCCTCCCTCACCATTAAACCTGAATGGCTAGAAATTTTTTAAGCATTCTGTTTTTCACCAAACAGGCCCTGGGCTCATACACTCTTTCCCATATCCGACATGTTGCTCCCACCACTGTAGTTATGCATCACACTAAGATGGATACTTGATCATTAACCACCAGGAAGTGGTTTGCTCCCTGACTGCTATTAATGGCCACGAGGACTCTGCCCCGGGGCCAACACTTTCAACTCACTCTTTGGGAATGTGAAATCCGGTTCATCAAATGTTCCGGCCTAATGTTCCAAGCAGTGACTTCTGGGCTGCCCTTTTAACTTGTTTGCTTGCTGAACAAGCGCTTGCATTGTTGGCCTATACCAAGCTGGCACAGCCACTTTCCTTTTAGGAAAGGGTGCCTGTTTCATCTCCTCAGGGCTCAGATTTACGCACCCACACATCTGACATCAGCATCCTTCTTTGCTGATCTGGGCAGAATTCTCTGTCTACTGTTGTCCTCGTGAATGTGATTGTGTCCTGCTGCCTCAGGTACAAAGCCAGTGGCTAGCCCCATTGGCTAGTGCTAATGACTCACAGTTTTCCTTACAAAGTCATCACAATAATTAGCTATGAATGCAAACAGCTATGTCAAGAATATCATACTCTTGGACCATTGTGTCCCTGGGAGCCTGTTAGTTGAGGGAATAAGGCTCAAGAGTGTCTATGGACTGTACTTGTACATGAGACTTCTCCCAGCCTACAACAGGCATTCAGGGCAGCTAGTGTTATGGTGCCATCTACTGGGAAGCACAGAGGCAGAAGAGTTACTTGATCCCAATGTAATAAGGGTGTCTCAGGGAAGCAGTGGGTGCTGACCCCTGACATGTGACAGAAAAGAAATCTTATTTAATTCTGACCTACATCAGGTGACTGAGGCCAGTCTGCCAGGCTCTGAATGCCAGGCACAGAATGAAAGGAAAGTTTACATTCCTTTCAGTGCCACTAGAAATGTACAGATGTGCCCCCAAGGGTCTCATGATCTTACACTGAGTGATGTTCCTGAAGCAGTTCTAGACTGTGGAAGGCCCAAAATGCACTCCAGCTGAGCCACCCATAAGGCTGTTGTGGACAAGGCATACCAGTAGCACCTGCCAGCTGCCTTAGACTCTCCAATGCAAATGGCCAGGTTGCCATTTACAGCTCTTTCAAACAGGGGCAGCCTTTGGCACAAGTCCAGAAGAGGGTTTACACACATACTTCTGAAGCTGTAGCAAAATGCCTTAGCCACCCTGCCACCTTACCCTAGTCCACCAAAGCCTGAGATCTATCTTATCCTTTTTTATGGGCAATACATAGCCTCACGGTATGTGCTGCACAGGTGCATTCAGTCAAATGACAATGATGTGTATTGCCCAGACTTTGGCTAACAGTGTAACAGGGAGGTTTTTCTTGCTGCTTTAATGATTTGCCCCTCCTTTATCATTATCTTCTTGCTGGCTGTGGGCATGTTCCATCATTCTGTCCAGGGGCTGTTCATGATGCTCCTCTCCTTTAGGGATCTGAGCAGCAGATCCTGATCACCACTGGTTCATTGTCACTGTAGAGTCCCTGTTTCTTTACCAGATTGCATAACTTGGACAGCTTCTCTTGTCCTCTGTTTTGTGTCCCTGATGTAAATGACTTGGCTGATTTGTTTCTGGTGCCACTGGAGTTACTTCTGCTCCATTTGTCCCCTAACAGCTATTGGCTAAGAACTATTGTCCCTTAACAGCTTTCAGATGGCCCCAGACCATGGCAGTGAGGAGACTTGGAAGCTTTCAGAGCCTGCCCCATGCTGGGGGCAGGTTGATCCTCTTGCCCTCTAAACTTAGACTGAGAACTTAATGTCTAGGACGTGGCAACCTCTTCTATCCCACTCTTACTTATTTTCAGTCCCTCCCTAACATTTCCTGGGCATGGTATTTGTTGCTGCCCATCAAATACCATTGCTTGGATTAGCTGGGTGAACTGTTGTGGGATGATACAGCTTTTTAATATATGTATTTGTGGGCGCTGCAACTTTATGCTCTCTCAGTGAGTTCCCAGCTGAACTGCTGGCCATTTTTTCATTTGGCCCTTCTGTTCCAGTTACCCACATTGTCAAACACTTGCTCTTTGATCTTAGAGTTTGAAGAGGGGGTCTGTGTTTTGTTCCCAGTGATCTCCCAAGTGCTCCCTGACCATCCATCTGCCAAACCCAGAAGTGTGGGAGTGAAACAGTTCCAGGTACACACATATAGCTGCTCTCAAGCACATCAAAGGAAGCAATCTTGAGAGTAGCCACAGGGTGGCAATCATCACCACATCTCTGGGTGTGGTGGATGTGGATAGGGGAGTCATGCTCAAACTCCCATCCCTCCCACCAGTGCTGGAGACAATGTAGACATGCCCAGAGTTTGTTCCCCAAAGCAGATAGCTGAATGTTGTTTCCCCAAACCTGAAAGAGCTGGAATGAGTCAGTGCTTCTCTAATTTTCCTTTTCTTGAAGAATGAGGAACTAGAGCCAAAATCATCAAAAGGGATTTGTTAGTTTGGGGGCCCAACTTCTTAATAGGGCCTGAGAAAGTGCTGAGGAGTGGCCCTCTGTAAACTACAGCATTTAAAATATCCCAGCATGAGCACCCAGAAGCACTAAGTATCAAGTCTGCAAATCTTGGCCTGTGTCCCTGTGCTAACCCATGTCCATTTTGTGATGGTGGCTTTGTCCTGCATCCTGACAGCTTGGGTCTGTCAAGATGCAACAATAGCAATTATGCTTTTTTTTTTTACCCTTCAGTATGTATCTTGGACAACAGTCATGTCCCTGAGATTGGTTTTGCTGGTTATACTTAATATTCTCCCGCAAGGAGAATTACCTTGTTACCTTGTTAACTTTTTCACACTTGTTTTTTTTTCCCCCACATGAGCGTATTATTGGATCTATTCCCCTCAGGCCAGTGTTGTACCATATTTTCCTCTGAAGAGTATTGCTTTGGCCATAGTTAAGAACAGGATCCTGGCTTAGATTGACCAGTGATGAGACACTTGTCCTTTTATGGGTGTTATCTTGGTTAGCAGTTTATCTCCACTGGACACTGGTTTTTTTACCACTTACACTACCTGACAGTTCCCAGAATCCTGCCATACTATGTTTTCCAGGAGACTGAATTTTAGTGTCCAGAGACAAGCAACTCCAATCCATTTATATTTCCTTCCTGTGTCTAATTCTACCATCAGGTTCATCTTTTTGACCAGTAATCCATCAGACACTCTTGAGGTCACTGCAGATGAGATCACAGTTTAGTCTAGATGCTGCCATTCCATCAGTGTCAGTGGGGTAGGGAAAAGGAGGTCACCAACATGATCTGTTTTGTATTTGTCTGTGAGCCAACTTTTCAAGCAAGAAGCAAAATCGGAAGGCAAGCATTCTTAGCAGGTTCAGTAAAATCTGGTGCTTGCTTTCTTGTAGCACTGACCCATATCCCAGAAAACACTGGTCCAATTCTGTCAAAATTAATTCTCCACAACAGGGGTGCTTAACCCTGCTCCATAGGCCAGACTCAGCTTATGACGCTGTGTCACCCAGCCTGCCATGCTCTCTATGAGTCTGAAAATGTGGAGGCTGGGAAGCAGTGGTAGTGTTAATTGTCTCTCTCCTGCTGCCTAATTTCTGGACGCACGGGGAGCCTGGCAGGCTGGAGAGCATAGCCCTATGCATGAAATTAGGTGTGCAGGCCTGGGCTGAAGTGACGTAAGGCCTGATCCAGATGCCAAGGCAGTGTGGGGCCCCATCTGGGCATGTGAAGCCCTATTAGGGACTGCAGGACCCAACCCTGTGCACCAGCTCCACAAGGGATCTGGGCTACAGACCAACTTTGTGCCACTCACCCAGTCCACAGGGCTGAAAAACTGAGCACCAGTGCTCTAGAATAATATTTTAAATGATATATTTTGCTTTAATTAAAGTGGAATCCATGTGTATCTCAAGGCAGTTTCTTATGGGAGAGCCCTTACTGCAGCCTCGGGATGGCCCTTTTCCAGTCTGTGTTTTATCTGCTAAGGCAGTGAAGCAAATAGCAAACCACTAATTAGTTCCCCAATCCAAGTCACATGTTGGAGTGTGAATGGGCACTGTCTGCTTTGCTGGTTGCATTTTGACTCTACGTGCTATATCTTTCTGGCCCCTGCAGCCTATTCGTCAGTCAATCTCAGGTTTTCTAAACTGAATCTCATTACGTTGTTTTCTGCATGCATGCATTTCAGCCTCCCTTCTGCCTGGCTTGCACAGTTTTGTATTGACTTAGCCACTCCAGCTGGGGGATGATTTCCTACTGAAACAGTTACAGCAGTACAATGTCTAGTGGGGACACAGTTATACTTGTATAAAAGACCTTAGACAGGATTATTCCCCTTCATTTAGGGCCTGGACATATGACATACATGTACCAGTGTAATTTATGTCACTTTCATTCTCTGATATAAATTAGGACCTTGTCACGTGTTACACTGTGAGCCTCACAAATCTTGATT